ATAATCTCTTTTGTTTATTAAAAGATAATATTCTCAAATTTTTGTGTGGTTTGATTTCTTCTTTTGCATAAAGAAATTAAAAGGTCTATCTTTCAACGTGGATTTTCTTCCTGTACAAGTCAATGTATTGTAATGACATGAATATCTGAAAAAGTGGGCCATAGAGTACCAAAAGGCAAATCACAAGCGATTTTTCATAGGTTTTTTAACCATTTTGAAGGACGACAACAAGATTGCATCCGAATATTAAATTTAATAATAAATATTTAAAAAGTGAAATTTTAATTTCTATTATTTAAATTAAAAAATAAAATGAGAACAAGATAAATTATCAACCAATGAATTTTCAAAATAATTACATGATACAATCATTATTTAAAATTGACATAATTCTTAAAAAAAATAAATTATTCAAAAAAAATAAATAATTTATTTTTATTATATTTTATCATATTTTTATATTTTATTTTAAATCAAATAAATTTTTATTATTATTAGTTAATTATTAACCATCATTAATTATAATATCACTTATTCATTATATGAAATTATTTTTGTTTATTTTTTCTCTTTTTTCGAAGGAGACTAGGTCAAGTCAATTGACTTAAGCATTCAAGGGAGTGGCCACCTATATTACAACTTAAATTATTCCAAGTATGGCTCAATTAAATTTACACCAAAGTCCACTCTTTTTCAATACATTGGAGAGTTCTAAATGCAATTATCTTTAATGTAATTCAATTATTTTGATCAAATTTAATTTATAAGTTTAGTTGGGTTTAGTATCTATTTGACCTGACTTGTATTTAGCTTATCTATTACTTAAAATAAAAAACTATATCAAATAAGATTCGTAAAAAACTTTTTAAAAAAATAAATTTAAAAAAAAACTTAAAAAAAGCTCTAATTAGGAACTTAAAAAAACTCTAATTAGCAGCTTTAAAAAAAAGTTACTGTAGCAATCATTTGCGTTATGAAAGAAACAGTGGGACCCTTAAATTCATTATGACCGTAACACCCACGCCTTGATCCTAATCGTAGAGGCATCTGTTGTCAATGCCATGGCCAACAAGCAATCATGATTACAACGTATTGATCATCATCTTTCAAACTCAATCAGACAAACCAAAACTAAGCTTTCTTCTATTTTTTTAATTAAAAACTTATTTTTGTTGAAAGATGATGATGATGATGATAATGATAATAATAATAATTTTTTTTACTTATCTATTTTTTTGAATAACATGAAATTGTATCTCTTACGTAACATTATAATTTTATCACTTATGAAGATTAGTGTAAGAATAAATAAAATTTAGTTAAATAGTTGTTAACATTTTAAAAAGGATAAATTATAAATTTTGAAAAGTTTTATTTTTTAAATTTTTTTATAACATTTGAATATTTGACTTTATTGATTGATATATAATTTTTTTAAAAAATAAAATTTAAATTCCATTCTCCATATTAAAAAAAATCCTTACAAATTTCAAAGTAACAATTTTTATAACATTGTAATTAAATTAAATATAGTAATTTGTTCATTTATTTTTAATAAATATAATAATATTAATGGATCAATTTCTCCTCTAAAATATCAATACAAATGTAATTCGCATGAGAAATGACATGGTTAAAAGGAATTAGGTAGTAATAAAATAATATACATAGTAATAATTAAATAATAATAATAATAATAATAACAACAAATTTGAAAGAGATTCGCTTAGAATCGATAACTTGAAAAATAAGTAAATAAATTCAGTAGAGGTTATAGTAAGTTCACTCTTACTGTAAAATTAATTAATAAAATTTTAAAAAATAATAAAAATTTGTATGACATGTTAATAAGTAAATAATATATATAATTTTTAAATTTATCCATCTTAAGATAACAACATAAATAATTTTTAAATTTATTTAGTTTATTTTAAAAGTTATTTAACTTTTAATTTTATTTTATTTTTTACTTTAAACTATAAAAATATTATTTTTTAATATTAAAATTATATTTAATTAATTAATTTTAAAAAAATTATTATTATCACTTGTTATGTTAGCTCTCATACATTTATATTAAGATTTTAAATTTATTTTTTTTCACTTTTATAAGATTTTATGTTAATTCTTATAATTTTACGTTAAGTCTTTTTAATAGTAATTTTTAACTATAATTATTTTTATTTAATAATTAAAAATTATATATTGTTAAATAATTTTAATATGAAAATATAAATTTAAATGTTTATTTTTTACTAAAATTAGATTTTTTTACTTAACTGACAACTTATTTTATCTCTCACGCATTTACGTTAAGATTTAAAATTTAGTTATTACACCTTACATCAATTATTATAGTTTTATGCTAATGCCTATTTATATCAATTTTAAACTATAATTATTTTTTTATTATTCTTTATTTAAAATTTAAAATTTATATACATTAAATATTTTTAACTTGAAAATATATATTTAAAAATATATTTTTTACTAAAATTAGATTTTTTTTACTAAATTGACTTGTTATGTTAATTATTATACATTTAGATTAAGATTTAAAATTTAATTATTTCATCTTTATAAGTTTTTATGTCAATTGTTTTACGTCAAGGCTTATCTATATTAAATTTGAACTATAATTATTTTTATTTTTATTTTTTATTTAAAAATTAAAATTTATATATCGTTAAACACTTTTAATCTAATAATATAAATTGAAATATTTGTTTTCAACTAAATTTAGATTTTTTAACTTAATTGACTTGTTATGTTAACTTTTATACGTTTGCATTAAGATTTAAAATTTAGTTATTCAATATTTATAAGTTTTTATATCAATTCTTATAGTTTTACATCAACGCTTTTCAATGTTAATTTTGAACTATAATTATTTTTATTTTTATTATTTTTTATTTAAAAATTAAAATTTATATATTATTAAACATTTTTAATATATTAATATAAATTTAAATGGTTGTTTTTTACTAAAATTATTTTTTTTACTTAATTGACTTGTAACGTTAACTCTCACAAATTTACGTTATGTAAAATTTAATTATTTCTTTTTTATAAATTTTTATATTAATTGTTACCGTTGTATGTCAAGACTAATTTATATCAATTTTGAATTATAATTATTTATATTATTATTAATTTTTATTTAAAAGTTAAAATTTATGTATCCCTAAACACTTTTAATCTGAAAATATAAATTTAAATATTTATTATTTATTAAAATTAGATTTTTTTCCTAATTAACTTGTTAAGTTAACTTTCACATATTTACATTAAAATTTTAAAATTAATTATTTTACTTTTATGAGTTTTTATATCAAATTTTATTATTTTACATTAAAAAATTTTAATTATAACTTTTAAAAATTTTACGTTTAAGTTTTTTAATAACAACTTTAAATTACATGTGTTATTATTATTATTATATTATATTTTTAATTTTAATTTTTTAATTTATTATAATAATTTTATTTATAATATAAAATTTCAACCTTTGAATAAAAGGAATACAAATAAATAGTTTCTATTAATAAAGTATAAAAAGAGTTCATCAAAGAGAAAATTTTTTATTTATTGATTGAATTTGTTTATTAATTTTTTTATAAATTTTAAATCGATAGTTACAATTTAACCTTACAGATTAGGTGGTGTTTATTAATTATCCTTATAATAAGGTCAAAAATGATGACCTTATTGCAGAATTTGCCCCACTGGGCGTTGATTAAACACCGACACTTTCTTCTGGTTTCCTTCCACGCGGTGACGCTCGAATGCCTCGCAGAGAAGAAAAGAATTGTGAAGAGCTTCTTACTTCAGTTAACTCTGTGCGAACAGACTGAGTTGAGAGCATCTGAGTTGGAAACTCGGCAATGGCGGAGATAGGAAAGACGGTGCTTGACTCGGGATGGCTAGCAGCGCGATCCACCGAAGTTAAATTCACCGGGACTCAGCTCACCACCACTCATCCTCCGACTGGCCCGACCTCTCCTTGGATGGAAGCTGTCGTTCCCGGAACGTAATAAAACTTTAAATTTTCGGTTATTTTTGTATATTTATCAATCAATTGAGTTCTGATTTTGTTTAAATTTATGCCGAGTTTTGCTTGATTCACTGGAGTGTTTGCTTGTTTTGATGTGGGAAAGGATTTATTCGTTGCATGATAAGAAATGAAAAGTTTTGAGTGAGATTGAATTTGAATGAGAAAAATGCTAGTTATGTTACTTATGTATCATTTAATTGTGGAAAAAAAGAGAATAATTGTTAATCATTAGTAAAAATTTGATGAAATTTTTAGGATTATATGATTTACTTTTACTATTTTGTCTTGCATTAAAGCAACGTTTTAGGAAACAAAAAAAAAGTAGCAAAAGAAACAATTAAACGGTATCTTCGTGTTTCAGATCAATGTGCTTGAAGATTTTTTAGACATTGTAAGTTGTAGTTATTGTTTCAGGTTGGAATTGGCATGTATTATTCTAAATTTTGGATTAAGAACTTTGATTTTAGCTTAATAATAGAAACATCTGATGATATTATATCTGTCTCTAGGGACCTATAATTGCAAAAATGATGGTTCTCTTGTCATGACAGATATGATAGTTTCATTCGCATGTGATTTTCAATTGTATTTAGTGGAACTAGTATGCGAGCTCTCATGGTAATGTTTATGGATTAATTGTGTTTGATTGACAGTGTTCTGGCGACTCTAGTAAAGAACAAAACTGTTGGTGATCCTTTCTATGGTTTGGTGAATGAGACGATTGTTGATATAGCGGACTCTGGAAGGGAGTACTACACATTCTGGTTTTTCACAAAATTCCAGTGTAAGCTGGTATGCAATGTTTTAGAATGGAACACTTTGTGAGGTTAAATACGACTTGAAAACAATGGAGTTTTGGTTGTGGTTTGTATTCCCACTAAATGTTCAACTCACCTCAACTGTATGCCCTAATAATGCAGATCTTATATCAACTAACAGATACTCTGATTATTCTTTTTGTAGATAATTTTCTATTTCTAATTGATGCTTTATATTTTGCAGTCAGGAACTCAGCATTTAGATCTAAATTTCCGTGCGATCAATTACTCTGCAGAGGTGTACTTGAATGGCCACAAAAAGGACCTTCCGAAAGGGATGTTTCGGAGACATTCCCTTGAAGTCACTGATATCCTAAATCCTGAGGGTACAAACCTGCTGGCTGTTCTTGTTTACCCTCCAGACCATCCTGGGAGCATTCCTCCTGAGGGTGGGCAAGGAGGGGATCATGAGGTATGTATCTTTGTATAAAAGAAGCTTATTAATTTATTTGGGTTAAATTTTAGGTATTAAATTAATATAAGAAAACTACAACGTAACGGCTAACACCATTTTTTTCCTCTTAGATTGGAAAGGATGTTGCCACACAATATGTTGAGGGTTGGGATTGGATAGCTCCAGTAAGGTGAATTCTTCTATAACTTTTAAAACTTCAGGGTTGCGTTTTATATTTTTGATTCTATGCTGATATTTGATTTTTTGAATTAGTAATGTGACTTGTGGCAGTGTACTGTAACTGTATTTCTGTCTCCTCATAATGCCATTGCCAACCTAAAGCACAAAAAATAAAAAGAAAAAAATGTGCATCATTTACATAAGTTCTTCAACTAACTTCACTTGATATTTAAGTTTTATTGTGTAGCTTATGAGGTCATGAATGCAGTTGACCCTGTACATATAAATTCCTATTACTATTGTAATTTGTACCCCAAAATTCATTAGTTTGGCATTTTCAAAGTCTCTGTTTAGGAGTGGGACTATAGTTAATTTTTCTATTGTTATTTTGGGTAGACTGGTTTGTGATCTAAATGTTTATTCAAAAGTTAAATGTATATAAAAATAGGACAGATGTAGTTGTCAGAAAATTTTATTCGGGGTACATGGAACGGCGCAGCAGAAGATCAAATGCATAGAGATAAAGGTCCCATGAAACCTCTGTGAGAAAAAATGAGGTGAACTTATAAATGGGGATCCTCTGATCAGTTTCACTTTTATTAGATAGACTATAGTGCATAGGAGCAAAATATGGAGATAAATCGATGTAATTATATCACATATTTTTGGTGCTTTATGATCTTTTTATCTCAGAATATATCTATCTTAGAAGTTTTCAACTAGCAGCTAGCATCCAACCTCTGTTTTCTGAAGAAACAAAAGCGTGTGATGTCTAACATATCTGACCTCTGCTTGTCTCAGGGATAGGAACACTGGTATTTGGGATGAAGTCTCAATATATGTTAGCGGGGTAAGATTTATGCAGAAGATTTCAACTTTCTTTCTGATAACGAGTACAATTTGTTTATCTCCTAGTGGAATTGAGTGTACGTTATTCTACAATGCCACAAAACTACATTTTTTTTTCTTTTCTTTCCTTTTGCTTTTAAATCCTTGCCTGCTTTATGGAGACTTTGTCATCTAATATCAATGGGTGTATGATAATTTCCTTCATTTGTTGCTATGTTTTCTGGTAAAGACTCAGTTTTGTTAAACCTAAATGTAAGTAGTCGACGGTGCTCCTATTTATTTACTATAATTAATTTATGACTCTCTGTAATTATCTGAATGCCGTTTGTTGATGCATTTACTTCGGATGCAGCCGGTAAAAATAATTGATCCACACTTGGTTTCATCATTTTTTGACCATAACACGAGGGTATATTTGCATGCAACAACTGAATTGGAAAATAAAAGTGCTTGGGTTGCTGAGTGTTCTTTGAATATCCAAGTGACAACAGAACTTGAAGGAAGCATTTGCTTAGTGGAGCATCTTCAGACTCAACATATTTCAGTCCCTCCTGGAGCACGTATTCAGTATACTTTTCCTCAGGTCAGTGGTGGATCTTTCTTATTGATTTTTTGATGTGTTTATACCATCCTTATTTGCGTTGAGGGTAGTTTTGTCTGAGATGAACTTTTTGTTTTTTATTTAGTGTTTATTAGTATTTGTGAGTGTCTGCATTTTGATATAGAGAATATGAAGCAAGCTTTGACTGAATTGGATCCCATTTTGGAGAAAATTTAATCATTTTATTTTTTTCATTAAGAATAAATTGGATTATTATTGAGAGGAAAATGGTAATTCCTCTGCAATAACTTTCTCTCTTTCTTAGCAATCTGAAATATCTGTCGTTATGAGGTCAAGCATCCATTTAATCCAAGTTGTTTTTCAATTTTACTCACTACACTTGAAATGCTTATGATGTATATTGCAGCTTTTCTTCTACAAGCCCAATTTATGGTGGCCAAATGGCATGGGAAAGCAATCTCTGTATAATGTCAGTATAACTATTGATGTGAAGGGATATGGAAAGTCTGATTCATGGGGCCAACTATTTGGTTTTCGCAAAATTGAGTCTCATATCGATTCTGCTACTGGAGGGAGGTATAATTCAGGAATCAATTAAATATTATTTTAAAGCACTGCATCTTGAATCTCTATAATCGTTTTCATTTCTGTAAATTTTTTGACAGGTTGTTCAAGGTGAATGGACAGCCTATTTTTATCCGTGGTGGTAACTGGATATTATCAGATTGTTTACTACGGCTTTCTGAGGAACGTTACAAAACAGACATAAAATTTCATGCAGATATGAATCTAAACATGATTCGTTGTTGGGGTGGGGGATTGGCTGAGAGGCCGGAATTTTATCATTATTGTGATGTTTATGGTTTGCTGGTATGCTATTCTCTCTCTCTATCTCTCCTACAGATGTGTGTCTGCCCATTTTTTGGCATGCTTGTAAGTGCTCTCATGCATGTAATTTGTGCATATTTATCTTCCTGAAAATGAGTAAGTGAAAATTGGCAGAATAAAAAGTAAGAATGAGAGTAAAGCACATATAGGATTGTGAGGGTCAAGAAAGAAATAAGAATTTTTTGGAAGGAATGAGCTGCTTGTATATGAATTTATAAATTCTTCTTAAAGGAAATTAAAAATAAGGAATTTCAGCCAGTTTGTGCAGTATGGCTCCTCTAAGCTTGTGTGTAACTCCCCTTGCTTCGTAGTGCATGTTGTTGTCTGAATGTTAAGTGCACATGTTCAACCGTAGAACACAAGGTTGTAAAGCATGCTAGGTTAGTTTAGGTTTACCAATTTTAAACCTTTGGTGGAAATAACCAATTGAAAATTTTGTAGGTGTGGCAGGAGTTTTGGATTACTGGTGATGTTGATGGAAGAGGTATCCCAGTATCAAATCCAAATGGCCCACTTGACCATGATCTTTTCATGCTATGTGCCAGGGATACCGTCAAGCTTTTAAGGAATCATCCTAGTCTCGCTCTCTGGGTTGGTGGAAACGAACAAGTTCCACCCCCTGACCTTAACACAGCTTTAAAGAATGACCTGAAACTGCATCCTTTTTTCGAGAACCAGAGTGAAAATGCAATGTCTGTGGAAGATATGTCCACAGTGTTCAAGGACCCTAGCCAATATCTAGATGGCACACGCATTTATATCCAAGGGTCCTTGTGGGATGGCTTTGCTAATGGGAAGGGAGACTTCTCTGATGGTCCTTATGAAATCCAAAACCCTGAAGACTTCTTTAGGCATGACTATTACAATTATGGTTTCAACCCAGAGGTTGGTTCTGTAGGAATGCCAGTTGCAGCTACTATCAGAGCAACCATGCCTCCAGAAGGGTGGCAAATTCCATTGTTTAAGAAGCTTCCCAATGGTTACACAGAAGAAGTTCCAAATCCCATTTGGGAATACCATAAATACATTCCTTATTCAAAACCTGGAAAAGTTCATGACCAGATTGAGCTGTATGGGATTCCAAAGGATTTGGATGATTTTTGCTTGAAGGTATTACCAAAAAATCTTTATCTTTTTATGGGGAATGCATTTGATACTCTCTTTGTTTATACTAACTTCCTTAAATGATCATCTCAGGCTCAACTTGTTAACTACATTCAGTATAGAGCTCTATTGGAGGGTTGGACTTCCCATATGTGGAGCAAATACACTGGGGTTTTGATTTGGAAGACACAGAACCCATGGACAGGTCTTCGAGGTCAATTTTATGATCACCTCCTGGACCAGACAGCAGGATTTTATGGTTGTCGTTGTGCTGCAGAGCCAATTCATGTCCAGCTGAATCTTGCTACATATTTTATAGAGGTAAGTGCTGCAGTAATAATGCTTCTAGGTATTTAGTTTGGTCAGAAGCCCATATATCTTTTGATGCATTGAAATTTAACAGGAACTCAGATTTAAGGCAGTGCTAATGTTTTTCTTATTTTCTTTATCCCCCCTCCTCTCTCTCTCTCTCTCTCTCTCTCTTCTCCTCTTAACTCCTTTTCTTAAGGTGGGTTTAGTAACTGCTCTTATGCAAACGTGCTTGTATTTGGCTTTGTTGTAATTAATTATCTTATCAACGTTTCACCTGAAAATTCTAGTTTTCCTCCCTTTTTCATGAACAGGTAGTCAATACTATGTCAGAGGAATTGTCGAATGTTGCTGTAGAAGCATCAGTCTGGGATCTTGAAGGTGCATGTCCATATTACAAAGTTTTTGATATGCATTCCTTCCCACCAAAGAAAGTAGTTTCCATTGGTGAGATGAAGTATCCAAAGTCTAAAAACCCAAAGCCAGTATATTTTCTTCTTCTCAAACTCTATGATGTGTCAAATTATCACATTATATCCCGAAACTTTTACTGGTTGCATCTTTCTGGTGGAGATTACAAGTTGCTGGAACCATACAGGAAAAACAGAATACCTCTTAAGATAACATCAAAGATATTTATCAAAGGTTCCTCTTATGAAATTGAAATGAATGTGCAAAACAAATCTAAGGAACCTGATCCCAAAATTTTAACCTGCAAGAACATTTTTGTTAGCAGACATGGTGATGGTGACTTTGATATGGCTTCAGTTGAAGCTACATTTGAAGAAACTGAAGAGAAACAGAAGGCTGGTTTATTTCAGAGACTTTGCAGACAATTTTCAAGGGAAACTGATGGTTTGAAAGTTGCAGAGGTAAATGGATCTGATGTTGGAGTTGCTTTCTTTCTTAATTTCTCTGTTCATGCTATGAAGACAGATCACAAGGAAGGAGAAGACACTAGAATACTCCCGGTTCATTATTCGGATAACTATTTTTCCCTAGTGCCGGGTGAGGAGATGTCAATTAAGATCTCATTCCAGGTCCCTCAAGGTGTCACTCCGCGAGTAACACTTAGAGGCTGGAACTACCATAATGGATTGCACACTGTTCTTTGAGCTAGTACTTGCAGTGATCTCTGATACCTTCTTCTCCGTGATTGGATTTTGAGGTTGTTCATCTGCACAAGATCTCAAAGGCTGATCATGCTTTTGAGAATTCTGGTTATTCTGTAAAGTTATTTTCTTTTCTGCCTCTCTGTGAACCAAGCTTCAATGGTGGTTTAAGAATATTGTACCTTGTCCTGTTTCTTTATTATCTCCTCCCCAATGTATCCTCTATCTGAAATCCGACTGGAAATAACCTACATGGAGAGCAGTTTCTATTCATGGCATTTCTCTTGGTTAGTTTCATTTCATTCCTCAGTTACTGGTCTTCTTACCTGTCAGTTTTTGTCCTGAGAGGGAAAGAAATCGAGGGAAAATGATACAATCCCTTAGAACCCTAGCATCTCTTTTTGTTCAGGTTTAATAAATAGTTCAGTGCAATGATTGTTGATTACAATAATAATTTGTCAATCCTTTTGCAGGCATTCTTAACCAGCTTCTTCAAGGTTGACAGTCTAGAGGCCACCAAACTTGACGAGAAGAAAGTGACTACCTGAACTTTGCAAGCTATGGCTTTATATTCATACATATAATTAATAAGTTTATATTTGATGCATTTCAGATATAATCAGTCATTCAAATGCTATTATTTCGTTAATATATAAATTTAAAAGTTGATTACTTTTAAAAATAAATATTTGTTTTTGAACAATTTTTGAATTGTTTTCTTTGCACGGTTATGAGGTACTACTCTCTGATTAATAAATAATGTGTAAATATTATATATTATACATTATCAAAGCATCAAACGTAAATCTATAATTGATTTTTGGATAAATAATCAAATTTGGTAGCACCGATTTTAAATTGTTATATAAATGGGAAATTTGTTTCATATTTAATAAACTATTTTAGATCTTTGTGGCTGTAGTTGGTTAAGTGATGAATCGAAGTGCTTTCTATCAAAGCCCACTTGATTCTTACCCTCCTCTAGCCGTTGAAGAAAATCAGTCCATTGGTCACAGCGGTTGCTTCCCTCCAAAGCACAGAAACAAAAACATATTCGCATCGTTAACGGCTTTTCATGGATGAAATCCGAATGGATTTTCCAGAAACTAACTCCCCGCCTTCCTTCATGTTTCTCCTCTATCCTCTCCCCATTCAGAACCCAAAAGCTCTACCAATTCCCATCTTCAGATACCCCCAAACTTGTCCTCAACCATATAGGTATAAGCCTCCTCTTATCCATCTCCGGGAAACAAGGATTTTTCCTTCTGGGTTCCTCTATCCACGCATCCCTCATCAAAAACCCTGAAATTTGTAATCCGGCTGGAGGTTTTAAGGATTCCGATAATGCTCTTCTTGTTTGGAATTCTCTCCTTGGGATGTGCTCAGAATGTGGCACTTTAACTGATTTGACCAAGCTGTTTGATGAAATGCCAATGAGAGATACTGTTTCGTGGAACACTATGATATCCGGGTTTTTAAGGAACGGGGAGTTTGATAAGGGTTTCGGGCATTTCAAACAGATGAGAAATTTGGGTTTTTGTTCGTTTGATCAAGCGACTTTGACTACTATTTTATCGGCCTGTGATGGAGTAGAGTTTTGTTATGTTAATAAGATGATGCATGGTTTATTGTTTTTGAATGGATATGAAAGGGAAATTAGTGTAGGGAATGCTTTAATAACTTCATATTCTAAATGTGGGTGTTTGAGTTCAGGTAGGCAGGTTTTTAATGAGATGTTTGAGAGGAATGTTATTACTTGGACAGCTATGATCTCTGGGCTAGTGCAGAATGAATTGTATGAAGAAAGTTTGGAATTGTTTAGCGAAATGCGTTTGGGATCGGTGTGCCCAAATTCTTTGACTTATTTGAGCTCATTGATGGCATGTTCTGGTTTGCAGGCACTAAAGGAAGGGCGTCAAATTCATGGTCTTTTATGGAAGCTGGGGATTCAGTCTGAACTCTGTATTGAGAGTTCACTAATGGACATGTACTCGAAATGTGGAAGTGTTAATGATGCATGGCAGATTTTTGAATCTGCACAAGATCTCGATGAGGTTTCCATGACTGTAATCCTTGTTGGTTTGGCTCAAAATGGGTTTGAGGAAGAAGCTAAACGGTTTTTTGTGAGAATGTTCGAGTCAGGAATTGAAATTGATCCCAACATGCTGTCTGCTGTTTTTGGGATATTTGGTGAGGATACTTCATTGGGTTTGGGTAAGCAGATTCATTCTTTAATCATCAAAAGAAATTTTGGTCGTAACTCTTATGTCAGCAATGGACTCATCAACATGTATTCCAAGTGTGGAGATTTAGAGGAGTCAGTCAAAGTCTTCAGTCGAATGTCTCAAAGGAACTCAATCTCATGGAATTCTATAATTGCAGCTTTTGCTCGTCACGGGGATGGCTATAGAGCACTACAGTTATATGAGGAGATGAGATCAGAAGGTATAGAGCCAACAGATGTTACATTCCTCTCTTTGCTTCATGCTTGTAGCCATGTGGGCTTAGTCAAAAAGGGAATGGAGCTCTTGAAGTCCATGACTGAAGTTCACAGAATTCTCCCTCGGGCGGAACACTACGCCTCTGTTGTCGACATGTTAGGCCGTGCAGGACTCCTCAATGAAGCCAAGACGCTCATCGAGGGATTGCCCGTCAAGCCTGATGTGCTCGTTTGGCAAGCTCTCCTTGGCGCTTGCGGCATTCATGGTGATTTCGAGATGGGGAAATATGCAGCTGATCAGCTACTTATCGCAACACCTGAAAGCCCAGTGCCATACGTTTCAATGGCCAACATATGTTCACTTAGGGGTAAATGGAAAGAACGAGCGAGGACCATCAAGAGAATGAAGGAAATGGGGGTGGTGAAAGAAACAGGTATAAGTTGGATAGAGATTGAAAAGAAAGTCCATAGCTTTGTTGTTCAGGATAGAATACATCCACAAGCTGAGGCCGTATATGGGGTCTTGAAGGAGCTGTTTAGACTCATGTTAGATGAAGGTTATGTGCCAAATGAGAGCTTTACTTTCAGTTACATAGACCAAGATGCAAGAGGAGGATGCACTGATCTTGTTTGTGGTGTTTAAAAACTCTATTAGGTAAGATAATTTTACAAAAATAAAATGCTTTATTCTTGTCAATTAATTGCCTTTTAACTTTCAATTGGAAATAATCAGCTTCCTCTTCCTTGTAAAAATAAAATTTATCTAATTATTAAATATATAAGAAGTCTAATTCATGGAACAACTTTCATTGAAAATATTTTTTATTATAAATATTAATAAAATTTATGTAATTTCTAAATTAGAGTTTTAATTGCCTTATTATTACAAGATTTTAATTATATATAATTAAAATATTAATTATCTTTTATTTATATACCATTAATTTTATGTATCAAAAAATTGGACATAATATTTGAAAAAACTCCTAAATTATATAAGAAAATCAATTTATCCTTGTACTTTTCATTACATTTAATTAAGTCTTTATATTTTTATTTTCGATCAAATAAATCTTTATAATTAATTGTTAACTAACAACCGTTGATTAAAATTACAATGGTCAATGTAATGCTATATGTCGATAACATGATATGTTGACAATCAACATGTCATTTTGGAGGATAATATTGCCACATAACAAATGATGTGGTAAAGATTGGATTTTTGACTGCTAACTTGGTAATTTCTTTTTGCCAAGCCAAATAGACAAAAATTAAATGAAAATTCAAAAGCAAATGCTCTTTTATTACATTTTATTACAAGAACTGTTAATAAATAAGAACTACTTGCATTAATTTGCTGATTTCTTTTTTCTTTTTCAACTTTTGATTCTCATTCATAATCATCAGCTGTCTAATACAAATTCTCTTATATTTTCATGAAAAAAAAAAAAGCACGCTGCTAAATCAAGATAAATTTTTATCATTCTATTCTTTATTCTTCAATCTATCTCTTTTCTTCCCTCATAAGTTTAGGGTAATCTTTGATGCCATTTTCTATCATTGAACATGATAGAAACAAGGGACTTTTATCTCTTCAAGTCTGTTCTCCCTCTCTGTAAACTTGATAACTCCAGCCTTTGGCCAATCCATCTGCTAGCGCGTTTGCCTGACGCCTGATATGTTTGAAGGTGATGCCAATGTTTCTCCTCATTAAAGTTTCAATGGCATTTGGAGTGAACTACTTTTTCTAAGGGACTTTGGTGTCAACCTCTAAGTGGTAGAGGTAGAGGTTGTGGTTGGATGGCAATGGTCAAGCAAAAAGGAAGATAAGTCTGAAGTTCAGCAAAGTTGGAGTCTTCAATGTCTATGTGGTGTGTGAGAAGGTTCACTACTGAGTTCTTAGCAGAAATAACTGAGGTAAATGAGGAGGAAAATCTAATTGAAATTGACATTTCCATGGACTTCATCATCCAGTATTTTTCTTTACTCTTTTTTCATTGCAAAGAGAAGAGAATTGTTTTAGTGGAGAGTGGTATATGTATTTATATCAAAGCAGATCAAGAACATGGATTGTACTGATATCATAGAGTTTAAATCAAGTGTGGCAATCTTATCCTCACTGTTCATTTTCCTTTCTTTATAGGCTATTCAAAAATTTCCCCAACGAATGAGAATTACTTCAAACTCGTAGCTTCATGAAATTACTTCAAACTCAGAGTCTCGAGAGTAAAACTTTATATTAATAAGAATTTGACTTGACAAGTTTTACCAATTGCAATCCACCACCCATATAAGTCACTAGTGATGCAGCCCGTCCAAGGTCGAATCCCATAATTGCTCTCCCTTAATGACTCTATATGAAAAACTTGATCACTTTTTTTGATTTATAACACTCTCTTATTGGTGCACCCACATGATATTGTTTGAAAATCCTATCGAAGCTTCGTGTTATACAAAATTATAAATTTGTAATGACCTTAATTTTTGACGTGTGTAAGTTAGCATGAGAGTTTATCATCTTGGTGATCTTTTATCATCTATCTTGCATGACTTTTGTTATCAATTATAGTGCTTTTCATGTTTCCTATCATTCATGTCCTTGTTATCCTAGTTGGTTGTTATTTCTCAACTTAAAAATTTTTTCTTTGTTTGATCAAAATATGCGATTTTTGTAAACTAATTTAATGAGAACAAATAGTTCGGTTTATTTTGGTATTAAAATAACTTAAAATGATATATTTTTTTTATAAATTTGAAAAGTATACTTATTAGGTATCTTTGAAAGTCTAAAGTCTAATTTTGATGGAATCTTTTCAATTTTGTTTTTCAAGTTAAAATTTAGATTTTTATTCTTGTAAAATTTGTTTTTTTAGATATTTTATTAAATCCAAATGCATCAATTAATTTCTAAAAAAAATTGATTTTTTAGGTGTCTAAAAAACTTAATTTCTAAATAATAGTTTTAATTACATTAATATTTGAAAAATTAACTATATTTTATATAATTATATTTTATTTATATACAATTAACTTTATATATTAAAAAATTATATTATATATAAATCGTTATTTAAAAATAAATAAACAACTATTACACGTGCAATAACAATAAATACTAGTAAACTTGTACAGAGTTAAGAAAGTCCTTCCAAGGTCAAACGCACCGTTTTGATCTGCCTTAGTTGAACTTCAGAAAAGAGAGCAACGACCACCAACTGAAAATCAAAATCTAGAGAGAGAGGGAGAGAGTAAGAGAGTGAGGATGAAATCGTTGTGTCTCTGCAGTTCAATCCCTCCGATTCTTCCACTACCGGCGACCGCTTTAGATCTCAACGGCCGAAATTTCACTAATTTTACTACAAGGTCTCCACGTCGTCGTTTCTCTCCTCGACTGACGGTTAATTGCAGAGGCAGAGCCAGAGAGGATACTTCGCCGGTTCTCTCCAGTTCCTCTGCTTACGCCGTCCTCGGCGTCCGACCTAACTGCTCCACCGCCGAGCTCAAAGCTGCTTTCCGCGCCAAAGTAAAGTATAAATAAATTAAAAAATAAATAAATAAACAATTCGGTATATTTTCCAAGAAAAACTGAGTAAATTATTATGATTTTTTGTTGTTCAAAGGTGAAGGAGTACCATCCTGATGTAAACAGAGGTGGAGGAGATTCTGATACCATGATCCGCCGAGTAATCCAGGCCTACGAGGTTTTTATTTTCCCCCATTTTATGTTCGTTTGATTTCTATTTAGTAACCTTTTTATCTATTGGACTCCCATTTATGTTAGTTAACGTAATCTCTTTTCATTACTTATTGCAAATTGTTCTTAACTACTATAAATATAGGATTTCAATTGATTCGGGGCTGCCAATTTGTTCTTTTTGATATAGGGAATTTAGTGACTAATTTTGGATTGATAATATCTGCAGATTTTATCCAATTACAGCCGGTCCGAGATCATTGAGAGGTGAATTTCTTTGTTCTGTGTGTGTATGTATGTGTGTGTGTTTTTTTTTCTTTTATAAAGAATTCATGAACTAATTGTTACTGCTTTTGAAAGTTTTAATTTATTGCTTGAATTTGACAATCATAAATGTGTGTTGACAGTAGTAGAAGTTGCTATTTAAGATATCTTCAAATTTTTTGATCTATCAAACAATACTAATTAATAACATTTGGTAATATTTTGCTTCTCCTGCATCGGTCTTCAAATTCAGTTGCTTTTTTGATGATTTGTATCTGTTTGGTCTGTTCTTGCCTTTTCATTTCTCTGTTGTTATTTTATGGAACATTTTTGGGGGTGCAATGTTCACTGTTGGATGTGCATTGTGTAGGGAATGTTTAGATCCCTTTGACAGCCCCGAATGTGAAGCATTTGATGTTTTTGTTAATGAAGTTCTTTGCGTTGGCAAAGGTAATTAATGAGTTCTCTCAACATTATATTTGACCTATTTTGATTGTGGCAGAAAGTTGTCCAAGTTCCACACATTGCTATTTTTTCACATATTTCTTCTGCCCTCTTAGCAATGCTGTTATGAAACATCTGTAGGGTGCCCATATTCTTGTGTTAAGAGAGCCCCTCATGCATTCAGATATGATCCTTCAACTGGAACTGCACGTGCAACTTCTCAAGGTTGGTATATTCACCGGGGGGTTCTTTTTTTGTTTTTAATTATGTTTTATTTAACTTGCATCTAGAACGAGTAGGAGGGAAGCAAGAATTGTTGAACAATTTATATTTTCAGTGAATCATGTGACCTTCCTTTCTGATACTGGAAAGGATGGGATTACATGGTAGTTTTGAACATTTTAAGAACAGCAGCAGAGATGATGTAACTCAATAAGTTTCTCAGTTTCTTTACATTCCCTGATTTTAAAGTTGCCTCTATGTGCAATTAATCAGGACATGCTGAAGATTACCAAGTTCAGCTAGCAGTTGGTCAGTGTCCAAGAAGTTGCATCCATTTCGTGACACCTTCTCAAAGAATTATTCTAGAGGAGTTACTTGATAGGTATTTTATCTCTAACAGTCTCTTAAGAAATTTTGGTTGCTACTCTGTATAGTGTAAAGGGCTATGAATGATTTAGGTACTACCAGGCCACTTAAATAGGTACCTGCCTGTTCAAATGAGATTGCTTGTCTCGTGGCTTGATCTATTTAGCAAGTGAATTTCATTTGTTATTCTCCATTTTTTCTCCTAAAGTTCACTGAGAGCATTTGAAGTGTACTTCTAGTTCTAGATTCAAGCTACCTCATCCGCCACGGTATTCAAAAACTAAATTGACGTTCGACTTGCCACAGGCTCACACAGCCTTAATTTTAGTTTCATCAAACATTTGTTAGTGGTGTTTTACTAATGCTTCGTATATGGTTTTGTTTTTTGTAGCATCCTGGACATGCCTTTCGATACCTCGGCAGAGGCAGACTTGCTTTATTCTCTTATAGTTAAAGCTAAGTTTGAAAATAACAGGTACCAAAAGCCAAAGAAGCAGCGAAAAACTTCCACCAAAAATGTTGATTGGTTTTGACCTAGGAGTAGATTGAAGTCATGTCCAATGTTTGATCCTCAAAACGACATGCAACCACTGATGCTTTTGCTTTCATCAAAGAAAGTGCAATAGACTATATATGAACATATATGCTGTCAAAAATGTCGTGTGCGTGTTTCTTTGGTGAAAGGTAGCTGAACAGAAGAATTCACCAACAATGGGAATACATCAACAAAGCAAGAACTTGAGTTGTTCTGCTCTTTCCAAGAGGAGAAAGAGTATAATGAAGAGGAGCTGCGAGATTGGTTTTTCCTTTGGGATATGTAATACAGCCTTGTATATGATACCAGTGCAATTTTAACCCCATCTTCTCTCAATCTAGACACTGTACCTGCTTTCTCATTTTCTTTTTGGCTGAAGACTTATGACTTTTGAACAACAAACAAGAGAGATATTAGCAAATGGAAGGTTCATGTCATATTGTATCATCAAAAGTTTACTTGGCACCCTATGGTGCAATGTTCATGCTCTTCATTATAATGCATCGAGTCCAAACAATTTCGAAGTAGATAAGAAGACATTATTTTGAAATAGCTTTCATGAATCGATTCAGTGAAGAGAAAATGCCTGCTGCTTGACTAAACAAAGATGGGCCTTGCTCGGACTTCTCATCTACATTTCCATATATTATCTGCAGAGATGAAACAAAGAGTTCCCATGACAAGGCAGAGGGTGCATTTCAATCCCAAGGTTGAACATATTTTGGAAGAAGTGGGATCAATGTGATAATAGAGTGTAGTCCAACAAGATCTATAAAAGAGTGTAATATGAACTTGACACTAACCACTAAACAGCTTTCTTTCTATTTTTGTGCTGAATTTTTTTCCCAGCAAGAGTGAGAAGTTTCTAGGAAGCAACTAACCTCAAGTTCTTCAGCATCAGGACGGCTTGCGAGTTCTTTCGCAAGCAGATATCTGCCAGGCCTGTCTTTATCATCATAAAACACCTTCCATAATCTGGAAATGAGCAGAAAAGAGGGAATTTAAGCATGGGAAACAAGGCAGGAAAAATTTTGGCTAGGAGATGTCAACCTAATCTTAGCAACTAAGGTGATGAACCCTTTGGGGCATCAGGCTCAAATTGGTCAATAGATTGTCTGAGAACAAATCACAGACTTGATTCTTCATCCATAAATAATTAAGGCTCTCCAAACTTATTCTATACCTGATGCATCCCATAGCCATGTCGTGCATTTGTACTTGAGTGACAATTCACCAGAAACTATAGGACCCATGGGGCATAGGAGATATTAGGAATATAGTAAAGTCTAAATGACCCTTACCCTGGATAACACCTAAACACAGCACCAGCTGCAAAAGGCCTCATTGAGTAAACAGTTGAGAAAGAACTGCAATACAATTGAGATAGAGTTTATCATTGTTATATAAACAGTAAATGATCTTTAATAATTCAAAACTTAACTGAAGGATGATGGGGTGAACGTCAAGCCCTGAATGGCAAGAATCATGGTGATATTTCTCATTAGATTGGGAAGGCTAAGCTGAGGGTCAGATGTAATGTGGGTAGAAAATATTGTATGGATGTCAGATAGTTGAGGATTACTTGCAAGGATTTGTCCAGCAAACATTGTTGAGAAAAAGGCTAGGAAATTTCTTATGAAATTAAAATAAGGAGAGGGAAGAAAACAATTAAAGAACAAGAAAGAAAGAAAAAGGAACAAAAAAAAGAGACATCTTGAGGTAAATATACTGAAATCTGTACCTTAAGAAGTATCGCCTCAACTTGCGAACATTAAACCCAACTCCAACATCTTCACTTATGAGACGCGGATTCCACATGATGAGAGGCCTAGGCTAGCAACATAGGATGAAAATTGTGACAAAAAACAATCCTTGTTCAGATATGAATTTATCAAATGTTTCTTTACCATTAAAAGATACCAATTTGATGCTTTATATGATATGAACTAGCTGGGAACATAAAATGATGAACATAACAGATAGTAGGAGTTGATATGTTTAAGCATTTCTGCACTTTCTTCTTTTAAAAAATTGGGTGAACATAATTTTTCAAGTAATGTTTCTCTTATTAGTCAGAGACCAATTAAAATTTCAGACAATCTAGAGAGACAGAACACTCCATGTTCCCTAAAAACCAAACAAGGGAGTTAAAGAGGACAAATCGCATAACTAGCATGAAGAACACTGCTTTGAATAAAGTACAAGGCAGGTTAGACTGGTACCGGATCATCTGATAGCTCCAAGGCTATTCTCTTGACACGGTCCAACATCTGGTAATCAGGAACAACCATAACTATAATCTCATCTTGGCTCTCCACGGGCTTCCGGTCACTCAAACTGGATAAACAGAAATAGAGGAATTGGGAATTGCACAACAATGTGGCATGAGTTACATATGTATATGCAAGCTGAAACATCATCTTCATATTCATGCTAATCTCTGAGTCTAAACTACTCATCTGTTCCACAGAAACTCTAAAAAATCAATCAGCAATAACATGCCATACCAGTTACAAAGGTTTAACAAACTGAAAAATTAAATTAATTTCATCAATAAGGAAGCAATCACCTGGCGAATCCAAAAGCAGCATCTTTCCATCGATATTTCAATAATGCAGCAGCTCCAGCATCTGGAAATATAGCTCTAACTTTCTGATATTCAAATTTTCAAAAGTTAGAGATAAAGCTGAGAAATTGATTCACTAGATATTGTATAAACTGCATATTAAAACAAATCTTACACCTTTGGTTACTAAACAAGTGTATGTAAAAATAGGAGCTTCAAATCAAATTATCACAGTAACAATGAAGGCATTATCGTTCAAATGTTTCTCTATGTTAAAAATCAAAGCTTTCTGGTTGCTAACTGTTGCATCCAAGTGTATAGCAAAGAAAATCTTGATTTCATTTACAAACTCCAATTTTCTAGGCATGGTCATTACCTTAAAAGAACTAAGATTACCCATGGTTCTTCCAACTAACCTGACATCCTGTTTCTTCTATAAGTGTATCCAAGAAAATTCCTGATAGTTCCCAAAGCTCTGCTTGTGCACCTTCATCATCAAGAAACTGTAGCTGTGGTATTAGGAGCTCAACCTGTGAAAAAAGTAAACAATTTATCCATTTTAATTAAAGTATAGATTCAATTTTAATGAACAAGATTATATCTTTGTTTGAACACATACTATAGCTCTCAATCCTCCTGAAGACACAAACAAGGCACTTGCTTGACCTGATTGCCTGACTGCACCCTCCAAGTCAGATGGCAAGCAGCTGACACATAAAACCAAGACTATTTTACAAACTTTTTCTTTTTTGGCTAAAATTGAAAAGGGCAAAAGGGAATACCCTGAGAATAAAGAACTACGAAGAAACTAAACCTGTCATCTTCTTCCTCATCTTCTTCGTGAACAGTTTGTTGCTGTGTTTGCACGGAGGATAATATCGTATCTTCAAGATTGGCTTCAGAAGGGTCACCTTGGAATTTCTCAAACTTGGCATGTGTCCTTGAGCTAGACCCAGTTCTGGTTAGTGAAATCCCATTACAACCATTGAAGATTGGACAAGAAAAAGACAAGGGAAAGTTAGTGGAGGAGATTGAACTGTTGGGTTTGGAAGCAAAGCAGCAGCAGTTGAAGCAGCTTGGTGCTGGGGCAGCCATGAATTGTACCACCAATAACTACCAACTGCCAAATTGCCTAAGCCATAGATAACAATTGCTCTAAATTTATCAAATTTGCAGGAGAGTTTTATTCTTTTCTTTTTTAAGGTTTTTTTTTTAATTTTTTAATTTAATGATAGGAAAATGTGAGGTGAGGAATGGCGTGGCAGTTTGGCAGTATACGACACCTACAAAGACCGGAAGCATTAGCAATTTGCGTAGGAGCATTAATTTTTGGTTTTGGCTATGAGCCATTTGCATTTGATTCTTACGTGAACAAATTTTTTTATAATATTTGAAAAAAGTTAGTGAATTATTTTGAAAAAAATTAAATAAATTTTTATTTTTTATTACATTAAATCAAGTTTTTATAATTTTATTTTAAATCAGATAGATAATTATGATTAATAATTGATTAATTATATTTAATTAAAATATCACAAAGTATTAATTTAGAGAGTAAAAAATTTCATATAATCATATTATCATGTCACATTAATATATCGTTTCATTATTATCATTAAATGTCAACAGAAAAAAGTGATGTAATAAGGTCCTTCCTTTTAAAATTTCAAAATTTATATATATTATTTTATTTTTTAAAAATTTTATAATTTTATCTCTTCAAATATTAAAATTTTCATTTTCACCCTCTCAAATGTAAAATCCTAGTTTCGCCACTCTCAACATCATGCGATAGCAGCATCAACATCAATCACAATTTCTAGTCCCATTATAGTCTTGCTTTAAGGACTTTTCTTTCTTTTACTGCTACTAATAATGGAGGAGAAAACTTTTTGAGAGACAAAAAGCCAAAGGAATTTTCCTTTTAAAGGCAGGGAATGGGCAATTTTGAAATGACAAAAGCAATCCACTCACTAATTTAGATCAAATAATTATAATTATCTTATTTTTGAATCAATTAATCATCAAATTAAACTCATACATGTAAAATAATTATGAGAGATTGCATGTGAATTATGAATTTTGTGTGCAAATTAAACTATTATTAATTTTAAATTTTGTTGTATTGATTATATTTTTATTGGATGTAAAATTTTTATATGCTATAATATTTTTATAGTATGCGAAGATGTTATGTGTTATATTTATCATAAAAATAAAATATTTTATCAATGATTTAGTGATTGATATTCATATTTTTTTATATTCGATATTAAATTTTGAGTTCATTATGAATTTCACATTAATAAAAGATAAGATGAATCTTAGATTTTTAAGTAAACATAATAGTCAATAATTAATTATAAAAATTTATTTTATTGAAACTAAAAATATAAAATTTTTATTAAATATAATAACAAATTTACTTATTTGAATTTTTTAAAATAATCAAAAAACTTTTTCAAGTATTATATTTTAAAAAAAGAAAAAAATTATAAAGACTGATCCATAAAAGAAAGAAAAATATAAAGACGGGTCCAATTGTTTGATAGGGTTAAAATACCCGAGTCCAAACTTCAGAAAAAAAGATCCGAGCTTACGCACCTTAAGAAGAGATGAAATAGCCGTTAGAACAGCTACTTCCATCGAACGGATCACGT